TCTCTCTCTCTCTCTCTCTCTCTCTCTCTCTCTCTCTCTCTCTCTCTTTCTCTCTCTCTCTCTCCTTCCTGGTGCCATGTTCCCAGCTGCTTCCCTCTGCCATCCTCTTCTGCCATGATGTTCTGCCTCGCCTCAAGCTCTGAGGAATGGAGCCACTGTCTATGGACTGAGACCTCTGAAACTACAAGACCTAAAATAAACTTCTGCTTCTCTAATTGTTTTCAGTTCTTTTGGTCACAGCAACAAAAAGGCTGACTAAAACACTCAGCAAGGGTTGGATATTATAGAGATAAGCCATTTCTGGCAGGACAAAGGACAGGCATGTAGGGGAAGAGGGCCATTACCGAAGGTACCATCCTCCCAAAAGATTTGTGTGCTGGGTTTCTCCATTTCCTTACCTCATCTCTAGTACCCTGGCATCCAGTATCCCAATATCCTAAATACTTAGTATCTTCCACCTCAAAAAGACCTGTGGATCTCAGAGTGTCTTTTCCTGCACTCATAAATGTTTTTTTCTCCTGTCCCACTCCTCACAGCCTGTTCTTAAAATACTCACATTGTGTCTAAGTACTTTAGATTCATTCATTCATTCATTCATTCACTCAATGAATGTTTACTGAGAACCTGTTGTATACCAAGCACTGTTCTTGGAATCGAGGACAACAGTTTAAACTCTCTTGAGCCTACATTCTCATCATGAAGATTGACATAAAATAATATGCCATGTAATCAAAAAGGTCAAGAGAAAAAAATAAAGCACAGTAAAGGGTTAGAGAGTTACAGGGGCTGCCATATTTGGTTGGGTGGTCAGGGATGACATCTTTGGGATGTGGTCTTCAAGTGAACCATGTGGATGTGGAAGTGGAGCATCTTTATGAGCAGAAGGACAGGTACAAATGCCTTGAAGTAGGAACAATGTGTGAGGGATTGGAAGTCAAGGCAGAGGTCTGGATAGGGCCAGACAGGAAGAAACATCTTGCTCAGGGCAAACTTCTCCAGAACACCACTGAGTGGTTGGAGTAGTTGGTGTTTTAGGTAAGCTGGGATGGAAGACCTTGGGGGCCACAGAGTCTTTGAAAGTACATGTAATATACAACTAACCCTGGAAATGGCTGTCTTTCCTGCCAGTTATAAATCCTACTATAGCAGGACTGTTTGGAGGGGAGATTACTAAGGATTGACCCAGAGATTATCTACTACTAAGCTATACTCCTAGCCCTTTTTATTTTATTTTTTAATTTTGAGAGTCTTGCTAAGTTGCTGAAGCTCACCTCAGAATTGCGATCTTCCTACCTCAGCCTCCTGAGTTGCTGGGATTACAGGCCTGTGCCATTGTCTCTGGCTAAGAACTGTTTTGTTTTGTTTTGTGTTTTTCTGCTCTATCAGGATTCACAGTAGGTAGTTCATACTGGCATTGCATTAGACTGCACTCTGCTAGACACAGAGGATTTCACTATGTTTGCAGTCACATAGGCTGCCTATGAGCAACCCAAAATCAAGGACATGTAGTTGACATGTCAAAAATTCACTGAGTTTCATATCTGAAGATCATAGACGGTTATGAAGCTAGTGTGAAGGAAGGAAGGAGACACTTATCCCCCAGGGAGCCGGTGGCAAGAATTGCCTGGAAAAAGGGCCTTGGTCATGATGAACAAGGGATCTACCACTGAACTACATCCCTAGCCTCAGGGGTTTACTTTTAGAATGATAAAAATGTTCTAAAATTATATCATATACTTTGTGAACATATTAAAATAATTGAATTCTATACTTTAAAACAGTAACATTTATGTATATGAAGTATATCTCAATAAAGCTGATTCATTATGTAAAAAGTGGATCACAGAGTAAATGTAAAAGCTAAATCATAAAACATAAAAGGGAATGTTAAAAAAAATAATTGCCTGGAAAAACAGCTACAGAGTGTTCAGGTGCGAAAGTAGAACTGGCTATGGATTTGGAGGGTAAAACTATACACAGGGAAACCGAGGCTCCAGATAAGGATAAAATTTGGGAAAGTATTAGAATCAGGAATTGGCAATCATCTCAGTGAGCATTCTTGGTGATTGTCAAGGATCAGCTGAGTAAGTTTCCCATCTGAAACTTACTCCTTAGGAACAAAGCAACCTTATCTTGCTTCTCTTGGGAGGACAGCATCTTGACTGGACTTGCATATGGCCCTCTGGCATCATAGTAATTTATTTTATTTACAGTTGATCTCATTTATTAAATCGAATTAATACAACTGGTTATTGGTTTTCTTACTTTTTTCTGTACAGTGAGGGCTTAATGAGTATTATTGATTGAAATGACTTAAAATCATCAACACAAAGGAAAGAAGGGCTAGCTTTGTAAGAAACACTTATGACAAATAAATATTGCTTTCACATTAACTATCTTTTGAAATAAGATATACAGTTCTAAGCAAGAGGTTAAAATAAATTGAAGAGCCAGAGAATAAACCACATTTCTCACATTGCAACACCAGCCTTTCATTCATTCACCCAACAGTTACTGTTAAGCCAGGCAGTACCCTAGACCTAAGTATGGAGCTCAGAGTTTCCTTGGATGGAGTCACAGACAAGCAATTAGGCAGTTTCACCAGAAATGTGTCTTCTGTCAGGAGCAGTCAGCCTCAACCTAAGGCCAAAGACACACAGGCCCTTGGAACTTTGTCAGTCTGTTTCTGAGCTCTTGGTAGCCCTCTCAGTCCCCCTTTTTTCCCAATTGTGACTGAAAATAGACCCACTTTTCTTAGGAGCAATTTCAGGCATAGGATAAGCCTCCAGGGACCTGGGGGCTGGCCTTGATTGTACACATTGACTGATTTACTCTAGGAAATGGATAGGGTACTACTTACTCTCAAATCTTCCATCTGTGCTATAGACATTCCTGGGCTCCTTTTAGTGAGTGGCATCATTTAAATTCCATTTCCTGTGTTCCATTCTCTCTTGTCTCTCCTCATTTCTCTTCCATGGACTGAACCTGTCCTACCAAAATTCTTGTGTTGAAGCCCTCCTCCCCAGTGTCATGACATTTGCAGGTGGGGCTTTTGGGAGGTCATGAAGGCATTAATGCCCTTAAAAGAAGAGACAGGAGAGTAATTTCTCTCTCTCTGCTATCTGAGGCCACAGGAAGAGAATGACTTGTCTGTAAGCTACCTTTATTAAGACCTTGACCATGATGGCACCTTGATCCCAACTTTCCAGCTTCCAGAACTGTGGAAAATGAATGCTGTTTAAGCTATTCAGTGTATGGTAAGTTGTTACTGAGGCCTGAGCTGATCAAGACATTCTCCAAACTATTTGTCCAAAGTTCATACTGGATACCTTTGGAGACAGGTAAAAACAAGGAGGGTAAAGGGATCAAGAAACACAGTCACTACATTGTGAGTGTCCACAATGGACCTGGCTAACACTTTCTGTACCTCACTCATTTTCTCTCCCAAGAGCTCCATCGATATAGTAAGGGCAGTGGAGATTCTGAACCCCAGGTCTACCACTTATTAGGCAACTGACTCACAACTCTGAGGCTCCAGCTTCCTGGAGAGACTGTAGCAGAGTGGTTACTAGCACATATTCTCTATTTAAACCCCAGTTCTGTGCTTATAAATGTGTGGTCTTGGCAAGCTGCTTCATCTCTGTGTGTTTCAGCTTCCTTTTTCCAAAAGTGGAAATGAACTAAAATAGCAGTGCCCACAACAAGGGTGGTTATTAAGACTAAATAAGCTAATATAAGTAAAGCACTTTGAGCAATAACCAGCTCAAGGTAAGAATGTTACCAAAGATTCTCAATACTCTGAACATGAGTTTAGAAGTTCATCCCATGGAAAAACCAATGTGCAAGATACAAGAGTTGGGGAGAAAGGAAGGTTTTATTTACGACCAAAGAATGCAGAAGTGGGAAGAGGTGTTCACATTTCAGCTTTTCAATTCCAGAAGGTTGACAGGTTATATAGATCTAGGAAAGGAATAGATTATAGATGTAAGAGAGGTTAGTCAGTTTCCATCATTTTGGCTAAATACCTGAGAAAACCAACTCGACTGATTTTGCCCCATTGTCCCAGATGTAAAACACCTATAAAAATTTAAGTATATTATATAATTGTATAATATAATTATATAATAACAATATAATTAAAATAATATTAATATTTTAATCATTAATGCAATATTAATGCAATAATATAAGCTTTAGATCATGATTTCCAATTTTAGATTCCAGCTGTAAAGTATGATTTTAATGCACCTGTATCAATTTCATAGAATTAAAAATTGGAACTTGATTGGAAAGAGGAGATTTATCTTGGATCATGGTGGCAGTCCATGGCCCCACCACTATGGGGGGGAGGGTGCCATGGACTGCCACCATGATCCAAGATCTTCATGACAGGGAGGTGTGGTGAAGCAGAGATGGTCACCTCATAGCAGCTGGGAAGCAAACAGAGAGAAGAGGCGGCTGGGTACAAGTGGTACCCTTCCATGGAACACCCCCAGTGACATACTTTTTCCAACTAGGCCTTACCTCCTACAGTTCCCATCATCTCCCAATAATCAATCATTTACAAACCCAACAATGGGTTAATCCACTGATGAGGTCAGAGCCCTCCTGATGCAATCACTTCCCAAAAGCCCCACTTCTGAACACAGCAGCATTGGGGAATAAGCCTTCAACACATGAGGTTTTGAGGGTCATTCCAGAGTCACACTAAAACAAATAATGAGGAATAGAGACAGGCTAATAAAGATAAGAAATATTTATGTCTATTTTGGGATAGACAGAGATGCTATAGTTTTGGACACAACATTTCTCAAATGATCAACATCTCTACATACAGAGCCGAGTGGCATCTGACCCAAAGGTTAAGGCAACAAAGTGGACAGGCACAAAATGAAAACAGAGATGACAAGTGTTTTCATCCCATTCCAGTCATCCATCAGACATCTGTAGGTCTAAATGAAGAGTCAGTTTTTTCAATAAAAGTGGCCTTCAGGTCCCTGAAGAGTAACCTAGGCAACCACTATCATCATAACCCACATGGCAGAGGTGTTATCTATAGCAAAGCTAGTGGGAGACTAGTAATGTATGATCTCCATAATTAGTGATTTTTTAAGTCAACAAAGAGCAAGTGAAACTACAGGGTTTATTTTTTTTCCTCAGTAACAAGGACAAACTGTTATTTTGCATCTTCTTGTTGAACATTTTTTTTAAAAAGTGTTCTTTAATACAGTGTGGGGCAGGAAAGAAACAACAAAGTCTAGCTATTATTGATGGTTTATTATTATTATTATTAGTTTTTATTTTTATTGTTTGAGTATTAATGTTATTATTACTATTATTCTTACTTTCAGACTTGTTGGTAACAGACCTACCTTCTTCCCTACTGGAGAATTTGAAAAACATTGACAAAGCAGAGGGCTCTGGCTCCTTTTCACTCAAATCATGGGCTGGAATCCCTCTGTCTGGCATCAACTTCAAAAACTTGTTGGAATGAAAAAGCTCAGAATCTGCCTTTTAGACTAGATCCCCAGGTGAGTCATGAGTAAGTTTAAATTTGAGAAGCACTTCTAACATTGGTTCTCAGCCTTGGCTTGGAGACAATGCCTGGGCTCCTCAATCTTGCCCTGCCCCAGAAATTCCATTTTAATTGGCTGGAGCACAAAAGCTTAAAAGGTCCCTGGGTGACACTAATGTGCAGTCAAGGCTGAGAGCCACCCATGGAGCATTTGGCTGGGAGGAGTTAGGCTGCAGGGGTGCATGGGAGTTTATTTATTTCAGCAACTGCCAGTGAGAGTTCTGGTTTGTTTTGCTTCTTTTAAGGCCCAAAGAAAGTAGAAATAGGAAGGAACACAAGGAGGACACATTCTTCCCGACCCACCCCCAACATTCCCCAGTCTTCTTTCCAGCCAACAGGATGCATGACAAGGCTTTTTGTCCAGCATTTCTGCTTCTCTTTGTTGCAGTTCTCAGCATCCAGGCTGTGTTGGTTGGCTTTGTGTCTCTCACTCAATTTACCGTGCTGAAGGGACTTGTCTTTTCTGTGAAGGAAATCTGTGTTCCCCTGGAAATGATGTCCTTCTCCTTGCTTCTTCCTCTCCTACCCATGGTTCATGGTTCATGGTACCCAGAAGCTGTTGGAGAAAACCTGATGGGAGATCTCTCCCTAACCTTTTATGTCAAGCCCTTGACCCCTGGTAGAAAATTCATGTTCCCAGTAGGCTCAGGGAAGTTATCTGAGTGAATGCTGCTGTCTAGACGATCGTTCATGCCAGATCATAAAGCTAAGGACTCTTGGGGGCATGGGTGGGAGGCAGGGTCATTCTACATTTTAAAGAGAAGCTGGAAATCTGGAATTTTATGAAGACCCTTCATGTTTTTCAATGTTGGCAGTTAATTAAAAAACATAACAGCTTTACTGGCCAAATAAAACATTTCCTGAGGTCAGAGCAGACTATGGACCTCTGAGGCATGCCTGGTATTCCAAACTGCCCATTTGGGTTGGAAAAGTTCCTTGAGTTATGGCAACTAAGCTTAGTGATCTTGCTTTACCTTTGGTATTGGTAGAAAAGGTAAGATACCTGAGTATCATGTCTTCTGAGTCATGTAACCAAAGGTTTTTAATTCCAGTGACTTTCTCTGGATTTGTTATTTTGGTATACTCTTGGCCAAAGGCAAATCTTCCACATACACAGGCCCAAATATGGCTGTTTCCTCTATACCATCTAAGTCCTCTGTGTGCCCTAGGGTCACAGTGGACTTCTCTGTCTCACCTGATGCCAGACATTATAGGAGTTAGGCAGATATGTTACAATTTCCTGGGATAGCAAAATAGAAGGAAAGAAAGGAAGGTTTATATTATTCAATCTTCTCCCTCTCCTATAGCTTCCCCTCCCCTGCATAACAGCCCCAGCATTTGACAGAGCTCCTTGTTTAATGCTGCCATGACTCTGCAAGTGACTAAATGTTTCTCCTTCAATATTCTCTTTATACAAGATGACGTGACTTGTGTTTGTTGCTAATATTAGATTTGGAACAGATGCCCTCATTGTTGGGTCCAGGGTACATGCAGAGCAGAGTAATAATCCAAAGACAAAGGCCTCAAATGCCCAGTGACTTACTTTTTTTTTTTTTTTTTGTGGTGCTAGGGATTGAACCCAGGGCCTAATGCATGCAAAGCAAGCACTCTACCTCGAGGCTACATCCTCAGTTCCAGTGATTTTAATAGCAGAAATTGAGAACTCGCTGCAAGGGACTCTGTCTAGTTCATGCTACATGTTTGGGTCGTGAGACCCAAGAATTAAATACATAGTATAGCTCTCATGGAAATGTAGGCAGAGCTCTTGTGGGGAGGGATGAGGGGTACACAGAACCAAGTGATGACATCTTCATGTAGACATAAGCAACAATACCCAGGCCATCTAGTCCCCACTGGTTGCCAAAGTTAGGACCAGGGAAACCACATAGCAAGCCTAGGGGATCAGTGGATACTTCAGCAGACAAGGCCAATGTCAGGGTTCTTTCTGTTCTTTTCCATTTTTCTCACTGTAGCCTTCTTGGAAAAATCAGAGGAGGGCACTTACAAACTATGAACCTTCTGGGTCTATTATCAACACCTGGGACTTTCTTTCCTCTTCCCTCATTCTAGAATGCTCTCATGTTTGTGAGGTAATTTGTTTCTTAAGTTCTGCCAATGTGTTTTATTTCTCCTCAAATTTTAGTTGCTTGAACCCTTGTAGAAGTTAAGGTTGCTTGCCTTAGTAGAGAATGTCTGTCTCTGATGCTTCCTGCTCATAGCCACATGCTGCAGATATGGTTCTTAATGAGTACCTTCTGCCCATGGCAATCCTAGCACTAGCACATTGGAAAACTGCCTGAAACTTGGCTAAAGTCAATGGATCAAAAATCTTTTGGTCTCAAGGGGTTGTATTAGAAAGATCCTATGCCATAAAAATTCTCTCTTGATTTGCAATTGAATCACCAGATTAAATCCCTCAGCCAGCCATTTTGCAAACTGAGTGTAACCTTTATGGTTATACTTAGCTTATAAAGTTCCAGTTTTTCATTGTTGCCTCCCCCCCAACCTTAAATAAAAGTCTAGTGATCTACTTATAGAGGGGAAGAAAGAACTAGCATTTATTGAGTTTTGCTGTAAGTCAGGTGCTTCACACTGGTTATCTATCTGGAGAGCTTAAAAAGCTTGTAAGTGGCCGAGGTCATACTTAAACCAATACCTTCTAATACCCAGAAATATGCTTTTTTTCCCATTTGTCTATGCTTTTACAGTTCTCTGCTCATAGCCACATGCTGCAGATATGGTTCTTAATGAATACCTTCTGCCCTTGTTATCATGTGCAGAATAAGATAGACACATACAGATTTAGAGATAGGACTGAATGTTTTCCTTTTTATTTTAGAGATAAAAATAAAACAGCAATTGTTTTAAACTCATAATTAGAACAAAACAGATACTTAGGCTTATAGGTTTCTGAAATAAATGTTTATAGTTCTGTGTTGAAAATAGAAATGACCTGGTAGAAAGCTTATCTTGTGGATTCCAAGGGGCCTAAAACCATGTTTTATTCACTCTGAATCCATAATAATTAGCACCAAGCCTGGTCCAAAAGAGTTCACTCAATATTTGTTGAATGAACAGTTTTCTCCTCTATCCCCATCAGCACTGAGAGGGGAAATCTTCTGCTTTAAAGATGGGGCAGAGGCTGGGCCTCTTTCACCTACTGAGCAGACTGCTTTCTTCAAAAATACTGCATAATATTAACAGGTATTAGGCAGGACAGTCCAGCCAGGCAGTTCAGCCACATCTGGAGAAGGTGGCAATTTGGGTCATCTTTCTGCATCAGAACCTCCACCTCATTTTATACTTTGGGGGAAAATGAACAAGCACATTGGTGATGCCAGTGAAAGGAAGTCCTCCTGAGAGTTTGTCTTAGCAAATTTATAGCCGTTTCCAAACTGCAACAAATTTAATATTATTTACCTTTTAAAATGTTAATTGTACATCAGAGATGGGCTCAGTTGTCTGTAGGCCAGTCCTTCACTGAAGGCTTATGGGGTGGGGGTTGATGTGTGTGTATGTGTACATGTGTGCATCTTCCATGAGATCTGAAATTGTCTAATATTTCTCTTTTTTTTTCATCCATTCTAAGTGTGGTAAAAAGTATTTAACATAAATTCACCATCTTTATTATTTTTAAGTGTTAAATACATTTACATTATTGTGAAACATATCTCAAGAACTTTTTCATCTTACAAATCTGAATCTCTGTACTCATAAAACAACAACTAGTATATTACTTTTAAACATCATCTAAGGTCCAATTTTGCTAGAATGAAGACAGCTCTGCTGTCAATTTCAGGAAAGCATGATTCAACCTCCTGTTGCTCAGACATTGAGAACCTTCTTGGCTCAGTAAACCACATTCTGCCTTTCACCTGTGGGGTGAACCACAGAGGGTCTTAGATTTGGTCATTATTAGGAAAATATATCAGGAATTTTAATCCAAATAAGCACTACTACTCAGCTTCCTCACCTCTCCTCCTCAGCCAAATTGGGCTAACTTCCTCATTGTTTGTGAATTCCTTATGAATGCCAGAGTCTCCACTGAAAGAAGAGTCAAAGACATGGCCCCAGGGGCCTAAGAAATTATTATTCTAGTTTACAAGCTATGTTCCAACATGTCTCACAATTATCATTTCCCACGATTCCCATTGTCTTTCCTGATCTGATCCTCCCCAGATTAGCCTAGGGTGATCCTTCTCTGCAGCATAACAGGATCACTTTATTTCCTGGTGTTCCCTTATCAAAGCATTTCTCACACTGTATTGCAATTGCTTGTCTATCTTTTCTGCCACACCTCGAGTTCTGTGAGACCAAGATGTGTATCAATCTTGCTGTGGAATGGAGCTAAATACATTATTAAGTCAATGTTATATAATCTTTGCCAGCTGTGAGAAGGTCCCCCTGCATTGCTATTGCACTTCTCTGGTCCAAGGCAGAGCAGCTTGCAGAGGATCATGGAACTTCTGTGAACTGAGATGTGCTGGCATGAGTGCCATGAGAACAGGAGCCAGGTTAAGCTTTGCTGCCCTTGAAGACCCAACATTGAGCACAGTTGCTGGCTCTTAGTAGACATTTAAAAAACATTTTGAAAATGAATGAATCAACTAGAGCAATGAAGAAATGAAGTTTCACAGAGGAAGGATTCTTTTCTCTCTTTCTCTACTGCAGCATGCCTTGATAGAGGCATAGTATTTACGCCAAAGGAGAAGATAATCATTATGATACAGGGAAAATACTGGGCTAGATAGGTACAATTAGAAGGGGCTCTTAACGGAACATAGGGCAGGAGGGGTGTGATGTGAGGGTATGCTTGTCAGGAAAGGCCAAGGGGAGTAGTTTATGATGCAAAAGCTCAAAGGCAAGAGAGTACTGCATGTTTGTGGAACTGCAGGAAGTTGAATGCTGCTTAGGGTTTGGGACAAGGTGGGAAGAGATGAGGCCCAACAGAAGGAGGGGCATATCTCAGTGGTCTTGAGGTCAGCCAGAGAGGACTAGCCTCATCCCAAGTCAAAGGAGAGTGACTGCAGGTGTAAGCATAATATGGCAGATTTATGTTAGAAAGTCATCCCAGCTGGAGAGTGGAGCAGAAGGCATCATGGGATAAAACCCAGGCAGGAGAGATGAGGATGGCTTCATCTATGTGGTGTCATGTTGGGGCAGGAGGGAAGAAGTGTTTAGAACCAACCAAACCACAGAAGTGCACACCCAACTCATTTTATTACACATAAGCCATGACTTTTCCTCTTTAGGCCTTTGTTGAAGGCTATTAACAAAGGATTGATTGGGCGTGAGTGTAGAGACCTAAGAGGATCTGTTTGAAACCTCCTCCCTTGTGGGAAGAATCATTGGAAAAGAAAAGGGACTCTAGGTGACCAAACAGAGAGACAGCAGTGACTTTATGATGGTCATTATGTGTATCACACATGAAGATGCTGCTAAGGACAAGGTCCCCTGGAATGAGCAGCCAGGAGATATGTTAATTAGATCAAGGTGTCCACCTGCATAGTTTGTTCCAGATATTGGGGGTTAGGATATTTGTAATTTGCAAAAGTAAGTTAAAAATTGTAATATAATTTTATCCTTGGGAGGCAAGTGCACAAAAAGAATCTCTTTGTCTTGTACTATAAGCTAGAAGATAAACTAGGCAAACTCATTAGTGGGATGGGCACATGTTCTGTGTATATGTGTTCAGCCACTGATGGGGACTGGAGAAACTCAAATCTGCCATAGAGAGTGGCAGGAAGGGACAGAGATTCTTATGCTTATCATAAGGAGGCAGGAATCAAGAAATTTTTGAGAAATAGTGAATTAAAGTCCCACAGATACTTCAGTCATATGGGCCAAAATTATAGTGTTATAATGTATCTGTTAGTTAAAGTACAATATAATCATGTATTTGACCTCTATTATTTGGGACTTTGTGGCAGCTTCTGTGATCCAGAGATTAAGGGACACTGCCTTGCCCTTATGAGTATACATCTAGTGGAAAAGACAGACATCGGAATCATTATTGTCTTAACATGATAAGTACCACAATAGACTCACAGTCAAAGAGCATAGAGAAGAGAGCTATTAACTCCTAGTTGTTGAATTGTTTTATACAGTTCTGTAGGATTGATACTGTAAAACCTATAAGCCTTCAAGCATTGCAGGAGAGGCATCACTTCCATGAGAGGAATCTGACTGAGGCCTATAAGGATGAGATGACTCCACCGAGATACTACTACCAGATACCCAGGGTCATCACTCCAAATCAAAGGGGCGCTAACTTTAGCCTTTTCTGTGACAACACAGTAAATGTGTCTTTTTTCTTAAACTAATATACAAATTTAGGTTTCATTTCAGGGACTAAGTCTAGTCAACATTTCCAGGCCCTGGAATTTGTAACAAATTTGTTAAATTTCAAAGAATGTTCTCAACCTCCAGATTAGACTTAAAGGAAAGGCCATACTTGGGAATCAGAGACCTACTGTAAATTTATTCAGGACTCAACATTTATCTCATCAGGCAAGCGTCAACACACTCTGGTCCTCAGCTTCCCAAGCAGTAAGATTAAATAATAAGATGTCAGTAGAGGAAGCTGGCACTATCTCTGGCTCTATCTTTATCATCAGCACCCTAGTGCAAGTTACCATCTCTCATCTGGATTATTGTAATTGTTTTTTCATTCATTCTGGATCACTCTAATCTACTAGTCTCTGCTAAGAAAGCAAATGTGATTGTATAACCATCATTGAAAAGATCAAAATCCTCCACATGATTTATAATATTCTTTCCAAACTGCACATCATGAACCATGAATGGGTCATAGAAATAATTTCATGAGTCATCACCAGCACTTTAAAAAAAAAAAGCATAATAAAGTAGAAGAGAGATATAAGAATGCAGTGGCAATGATAAGTGTTTTACTCAGCTTTTCCCCACAGTGACCAAAGTACCTGAGAAGAACAATTCAGAGGAGAAAAAGATTATTTTGGTTCATGGTTTCAAAGGTTCAGTCCATGGTCCTTCAACTCCATTGCTCTGGGCCTGAGTGAGGCAGAACATTTTGGTGGAAGGGCATAGCAGAAGAGAGCTGCTCTGCTCAGGCAGGGGGAAAGGGAGGGGGGAAAGGGGGAGGGGTGAGGGAGAGAGATAAAGAGAGAGAAAGGGTCCAGGACAGATATGGCCATGTCCCATTTGTCTATAATTACTACCCAGTAGACCATTCAGCTATCAATCAATCGATTAATCTAGCAAATGTATTAATCTGCTGATGAAGTCAGAGCCCTAATCATTGCCTAAAAGCCCCACTTCTGAAATGGTGTTGCAGACCCTGCTTCCAACACCTTCCCCAAGCTTTTCAGGGAATGTTTCAGATCCAAACCATAACAATAAGCATAAGAACTATTTAATAAAACGTGAAGGCCCAAGCCTACTGAGTGATATGATCTCTGTCTCCTAGCTCCATTTCCTCTAATCTCTGCCCAGTTCTTTGCTCTATCCACAACAATCTTCCTTAAATTCCTCCAACAAATCATGCTTCCTTCTTCAGGAAGACCCCTTATGTGCTGTTTTCCTCTTCTCTAGAACATATCAACCTTCAGGTCCCAACTCAGGTGCCATTTTTTCAGGCAAACTTTCCCAGACTATATCTTGAACCCTTATAAGGGTCAGATTCCCACAGTTCCTGTTCGTTTTCAAATTATTATTATTTTTTTAATAGCACGCTTCTTTGGTTAGCGACAATCTTTTCCATTAGGCTGGGGTCTACACGGCTGCAGGGACCCTGCTCTTGTTTAGCATTGTAGTAACCCAGTGCCTAACTCCCCAGGGCACCTAGGTATTCAGAGGAGTAAAAAGACTAACCTGTCAGCCAACGATGCTGGCTGCTCTTTCTTAGCGTCGGTTTGGTTTCTCGCGCTTGCACTAAGTAAACCACTGCTGGGCTGTATTGTCAGCCTAGGTTAGCAACTTCCTTTAACAGGATTCCTTAACTTGGGTGTTAGTGAGGAAGGGGAGACTGATCTTCCTCTGGTTTCAGGAGGAGTCTGCTCACCCGATCCAGAGAGCCAGAGCTCCAAGAGCATCTCACGCCGCCCTTCTGCATCCCTGGGGCCCCGTGGGTCGCGTTTGATCAGAAGGCTTCTAAGCATCACGCCTAGGCGACCAGCCCGTTCCAGCCCCTCGGACTAGGCCAGCCGGTTCAGACCTTCCACTCTTCGCCGTGCGCATTCCCCTGGTATGCTAGACCCAGGCAGTGGCGGCAGGTGACCAGCCTCTCTAGGTTGGGGTGCTTCCACTGAGCCTCTGCAGCCATCTTCTCGGACGCAAAGGAGGAGGCAGAAAGGGGGCGGGGCCTTTGTACGGCCCGCCCCCACCGCTGGAGCCGCCCTTCTTGTCTCTGCTGTGCGCGGCGCCCGGGTTTGGACTTCCCCTCCCAGCTCTGCTCGGCGGTGTCGCGCGCTCCCAGCCCAGCCCGCAGAGCCCGCTCCGCGGCCGCCCCGCCGCGCTCTCAGAGGCCGCCATGGGCACCGCGCGCTGGTTCGCGCTGGGCAGCCTCCTGGCCCTGGCGGGGCTGCTGGAAGGCCGGCTTGTGGGAGAGGAAGAAGCTGGTTTTGGCAAATGCGACAAATTTTTCTATGCCGAGACCCCTCCTGCCGGGCTGGCTGCCGATTCCCACGTGAAGATCTGTCAGCGCTTCCAGGGCTCCGAGCGTTTTGCCACCCTATACAACACCCGCGATCGCATCCCAGTGTTCTCAGCATTCCGTTCCGCGCGTCCCGCGCCTGGCAGCGCGGAGCAGCGCTGGCTGGTGGAGCCGCAGGTAAGCGAGGTGGTTCCCGGGCCGGGCGGGGCGCCTGGGCCAGCCTCCAAGGGGGGGCTTTGTCATACCGCCAGGGGCAGTGCCAGGAAAGGCAGTCCTTCACGCCTTTGATATCTTGGACCCGGGTTTCGGATCCACCCCATTGCGCCCGCGTAGTTACAACTAGCCTCACCCATGACGAAGCTACTATAAAAGCTTGACGATCTTCGAGCCTTCATTAGAGCCGCAGGGGAGGGAGGTGCCCTGGGGAGGTGGTTCTCCTTACATTTCGGCGCAGACATCTGCAGTGTCTCCTTCGTTTCCTGAGTAGCCTGGAGTGTGAGACCAAAACCTAGGAGACCGTGCAGATCCGCGGGAAGCTTAGGAGGGCCACTCACAGGCCTGGGTTCATGTCATTGCTTCAGAATTCATTTGGGGTTGGGTGAGCATTTTCATACCCATTTTACAGAAGAGAAGATAGATGTTCAGGCCGGTGAAGAGTTTCTGATAACCTACCAGCTGGTAAGATCTGGCAGGTCTTGTGGTTAGACTGTCACTACCTTTTCTTCTAAGGAAAGCTTCTTCAAAGCCCATCCTAGTGTACAAATGCTTCCCTCTACACGCAACAGTGAGTACATTAGATCTGAAGTTGTATTGAATTAGAACAATAAAATAAAGGCATGAGTTTTTAGAAATGCCATGGAATAGTTACAAATGGTAGGGAAACATTGATTATCTCCAACTGCTGGGAAGGAGAAACCAGTTTTTCCTGACTCTTTACATCTATATTATCAGACCACTTGGGAATCATGTAACCTTTCATGTGGTTCTGTCTGGTGATAGTGATCAAACATGCCAAGAGGCCCTCAGTACCTGCTGGCCTGTGCCTAACACATCCTGGTTCACCTCTGTCCGTTGGCTTCCTCTCCAGAACATTCAGTCCTGTTGGGCTTTGACCTCTCACCCCATCAGAGCTGCCAGGGGGAGAGTTGTCACATAGCCCTCAGTTCCTGATGGCCATAGCTGCCTAGTACCAGGTGAACAGCCAACTGGCTTTCAGATTCCTCATTCAGAGCCTTCGGGTTGAAATCTCATTCAGATGTTTCTAGCACTGAGATATCGGCCAGGTCTCAAGCAATCTGCAATCTGGTTTCCTTACCTTCTCCATGTCCTTTCACCAATTTATATGAGGACCTATGAAATCAGGTATGTGAAAAAGACTGTGTACATTCTTAAGACATTTTAGTTTAAAATTAGTGTCCCCCACATATGCACTTAGAGCTCGAATACTATTATTATGTACTGTGATTGTGGGCCTAGAAAGAAAATAGATGGCCTGATCCTTTCTTCTTGAGGATCTCTTGCAGATGCAGTGTACACAGTAAGAAGTCATGGGAATGCATGCTGAACAAATATCAGTTAAATTCAAAATCATTTAGTAGGCACTTGCTGTATGCCAGACATTTAGTATACCAGAGAAACTCTAGATATATTCAATGTATGACTCCAGAACTCAAGGGCTTCCTAGTTTGTAGGTGGGTTTTTCTGCACGGAGAGGTGATGTAGCATCTGATTAGACACACAGTGTGGGATCAAATCCTATTTCCTCCCTTGAGTGGCTATAAACTGGGGCAAGTTAACTTGGAGATAATAACACTAGTTATTAGCAGTAGTTATGAGGATTAAATGATAAAGTTCTCAGGGAGGTGTCTAATTAGATGTTACTGTGACATAAGCAAAAAGCCATAATTTAATAAAGGTAAACAAAGTCCTACTAGATTTAATCTGTCTTTAAAGTGATAGGGGGCAAAGCCTTGGAGTCAGGATGACATTTGTGCTATTCCTGGAAGGATAAGGTAAAGTTCAGAAGGGAGATGAGGAGGAACACATTTTAAAACTGAGGAAACATGAGCAACATAGGCAGATTCAGGGCTTATTGGGAGTGGTTGGAACAGGTAAACCAGTAGAAGTGAGCACCTGTACTCAGGTGCTCAGAATACAGGGAAATCATGGAAGGGAGGGGCCAGGTAGGAAGGAGTCATCAAGGAAGGCTTAGGGAGGCAGAGCAGTTTATAAAGTATTTGAAGGAGTCATAAGGGACATGATATGGCAGAGAGGAAGTGGAGAGGACTGTCACAGAGGTAGTAGAGACCTTGGGCGTGGTAATGAGGGTTGGGATTGGAAAGATAAAAGAGGATGCTGAGGGAGGAGAAATTGTTCCAGATGGCAGTTGAGAGATGAGATGTACAGTGGTTCTGAAAAGTATTGGAGGCCAGAGTACCCACCTTGCTGGGGAGATCAGAATGGCCTGGGAGCTGAGAACTGCAGGATGCTTTTTCCTGCAAGATAAATAGGCTCCCTGTGCCATCCTCCACCCTGAGGTCATTCGGGCAGAGAGGGAGGAAAGAAGAGAGGGAGGGATGGCGATAAGGAGGTTCAGGAGGACTACAGAGCGCATTGCAGCAAACCTGAGACCTGCCTGTCAGCCAAGGTCCCCACTGCAGAGAGCAGCTCAGGGCTCAGTATGTACTTCTAGCTGCTTCCAAGCAATTTATAGTGCCAAGTTGCCTTGTTCCCAAATCATCTTCTTCTGAGGTCAGCATTACGAAGAGGCCCAGCAGACAGGGGAGGAAGAGGCAGGCGAGCAAAGGAGCCCAGTGCTGATGAGCCAGGCAGGGCTGCACAAACACTGGGATCCTCAGCAGCTTTCAAGGCCGGCCCGCAGTTCCCCTTTGAAAAAGGCTTCTAAATCAAAGATCACAGAAAATTATTACTCGTGCTCAAAACCTTTAAGGTATTGGCTGCCTGACATCATCAGGACAAAGTTCAAACTGCAGAATGCCTTTACAAGGCCCTGCATGGCCTGGCTTCTGACTCTGGCTCCAGCCCTGTTTCTTACCACACCTCACCTTCACATTTATGCCCAAGATGCCTGGAGCTCTTCTCCTAAGCCATGCTGTTGCCAGTCTGTTTCTTTGCTACTGCTGATTCCCTTTGCCCTCAATGCTCTTTGTATACTTCCTCCATCCTGCCTTTACTTTCTCTCCCTGCTCCAATCTTTATGACTCTGCTATTGGGTCTCCTCATCCAGAAAGATTTCCTCACCTGTTGTGGATCCATCTCCTGAGTCAGGCCCAACTCTTCACTTCTCTTATAATTTCTCCAATTTTGAACTTATAGCATTTTATAATTAATTACCTGCTTATCTATCTGTCCTGGCAGCCAGAGCCCCGAAGGCTAAGAACTGCATTTTATTGCTTATTGTATTCCTAGTGCCTAGCACATAGAAAGCACTTAATAAGTGTTAAATAAAAGAATTTGTTTAGAATAAAGTAGTTAGGATAATCTATCAGGCGGCAGTGGTAAGATGTTCTGCTTGTCTTTTCTCAGCAAGGAGCTTCCTGTTTCAGAAGCTTGTCCCTGTGACTGGCCAGCGGCCCCTGTTACATACATGTTCCATATGCAGAGCTGGAACAATCCTCAAAGGCCACCCCATCAGTCCTTGCTCTGACCTTTGGAGTTATCCCAAATGATTTGGATCTCTTCTCTGCATACCAGTCCTTTGGCATTGGATACAGGATCCCATGTCTGCTCACGCTGTAGGAGTTTAAAAAGAGACCTGAGGAACAGAAATTTAAAGAGAAACCAAAATAAATAAATAAATAAAAACCACAGGCGCCTGTTGTGGTTTTATGTGGAATTTCACCTTTAATTTGAAAATATAGATAAGATGTGAAAGAGATAGGAGATGTATTCCCATCTGGCATGATGGAGATGGGCTGAAAGGTTTTCATTCTGGTCTCCAGGAACCTGAGACTTGGGATCTGATTAATGCATGGGACTTTAAACCATTCAGCTCAGCTCCTTTCCATGATGCCTTTCTTAAGTACATTCATGCCAGAAAACAAAATATAAGGCCTTATCATTTTCTAAATATGAATGCTAGAAGTAATTGGCCTTATATTCAGTAATAACAGTGTGCATTTATTCAGTCTTACCAAAATACTGCAAGGTAGATGTGTGAGGTAGATAGGAAATTGGTGCAGAAAGCTAGTTGTGGTATCTAAGGTCATGCGGCTTGGATTTGAATGCATGGCTAATTGCTCTTAGGCCTCTGCTCTTTTTATACATCATGGGTATTCTCCGATTTCACAATGGATCCACTGCATTGGTGGTGTTAGGACTTTAATTTTCATCTTTTAAATGAAAATCCTAATCTCAAATCCATTTCTGTTTCTCAGAAATCAAAGGACAAATGGGAGCACATATTTGAAAGCATAAACATTGTTCAAGTTGCAGTGTTTCTAGAGTGAAGAGGATATTTTGATCAACTGAAAAAGCATTTTCCTAGAGAGCATAATAAGGTCATATTTCAAGTCTCAGTAAATGCATATAAAGTTTTCACAAGTTAGAATCTTGATTAAGTCCCTGATCTCTAATTTCCATCAATGGCTTCTTGCTTACACACCCTGAAACACTTAGAAACACTTTTTAATGGATTCTAAACCTCAGATCTCTTCATCACATCAGAGGACAGATACATAGAAGACATCACAACTTAAATTTCTGTGTAAGGAAGCAGTGAACAGGACAATACTGATTCTTACTTCCTATTTAGACACTTGATTCAGACTGCTGCTGTGCCATTACAGGCTATATGTGACTTTAAATTCTTCCATACCTGTTTTTCTAGTTGGTTTATTAAAGATAATAACAATGTTTACCTTATAGAGTGGTTGTGACAACTCAACAAGAATAACATGTAAGCATAGTAGTTGGAATATAGTGAGGTCTTGATAAATATTAATCTGAATACTTTTCAAAGATCTTACTCTGACAGATGGTAGACATATACAGACAGATAAATAGACACGCACACAGAATGTTGGAGTAGATAGGTGACTGCTGCAATTCTACAAAATGCTCCTAAAATGCAAAACATTTATCTGTGTATCATCTCAGATGCTTGACCTATGTCCCTCATTCCTGTAAGTGCTCAGAAAATGCATGGTGAGAGATTT